CACCCTCCGCCGATTTAGTCACAGGTCCTAAAAGTCCCGACGACCCTTTGAACGCCGCCTGTGACCGATACCCAACACTTTTTGTACAAAGGACAAGAAAAAAGAAAAAAAAAATGTAAAATAAAAGGGGGCCAGGAGTGCAGTGACAGACGGCATGTATAAAAGGAGCTGTAAAGACTTTAATAACCCCATTTTTTTTTTCTATTTCGTTTTCGGTTCTCGAGGAGCGATGTCTTCAGCATATCGACTGCGGCGGCCTCTTTGGTCTCATCCGGTCTATATTTGTCTATGGTTTCACAGCCATCGTATAACTGGGGAAATGCATACGAATCATTTTCGTATACGACTGTTACTTATATATTTTTTATAAAAATATCTGAAGATAATTATTAAAATTTAAAAACAATGCATTTATACTAGAAAGAGTTGAACGGAGGATGATATGTAGAAGGAAATTTACTTAATTGGAAAAATCCAAACAAGAAAACCACGAGTCACATCCACAGTATGCATTTGGATGGTTTCGTGAAATGTCTGCCGCAATTGTTTTTTTTTGTTTTTTTTTAGGTTAATTAGATTGAGCCGTCAGATTTCTGATGTGTAACGCTCGGGTAAAGTCCGCTGGAGTTAACTAAGTGTTTTTCCATTTGTATTAAAATAACTCAAAAACTAAAAATTGGACCTGCATACTGTTCTCGAGGGAAATGTTCACCATTTCATACTCATAATGAGCTATTATTTTTAAAAGTTTTATATTGACGTAAAAGGAAAAAGAGAGGAATATAGTGTCAAGAATCAAATGATAACGAATTCCATGCTAAATATTCTCAGATTAAATATGACGAATCATACTAAAATAGCATTCAAACATAATAAGTTTTGTCTCCATCGAAAATGTAGTGAGCGAGTTTTTGCACTATACCGACATATCATGAGTAATGATAATGAATCAAATGTTTATACAAGAGAAAAAATAATAAAAAAGTTAAATGACTCTGAAAATTAGTGTTGCCCTAATGCGAGACCGATACGAGTCTTGGTCTTGCAATCGGAATTTTGGATTAGGTCTTGGTCTTGGTCACCTATTAGCTTATTACTAGAGAGATATTACTGTATTTTTAGATAAGGGAATTAAACCTGAATGAAAAATTAGAAAATTTAAATGCAAAACTATATTGGTTATACCAATTCTTTACATAGTAACTAAAATTGTCAAGCAATAATTACTATTTTGCATTAATTGTTATACAAAAAATTGATTTTTACCAGTCTTGTTCTTGGTCTTGCAACAGTGAAGCGGTCTTGTGCAAAAATTTAAGTAATGTCAGTTGAGAAGTAATATGAAGGCCTTTAAATAATGCTTCTAACAGCGTCAAGTAACTTGTAAAGTAGAGTTGGTCCCATTTATTGATACACTACAACGTCCGACTATTTTGATTTTCAATCAGGGATGGAAGCGACCCGACTTCTACACAAAGGTTAAATATTCATTGACTTATTTTTTTAAAATATTGAACTGTCAATTTTCAAATATTGTAAAACAGATATGGAAGTACATGACCCTGGTTAACGCTATTTCCGTATTGTTTTAAAATTTAATATATTTATTTTCATAATTTTCTTCCACACATCAACTTTTCCAGAATCTTATCTCATGTTCAGGTCATTGAAAAAGATGAAATTTAAATTTAGATGAGATTTAAATTATATACATAATAAATATGTATTTATAAAGACCGTAAGAGATACAGACCCCTTTTTATCGAATTATTAACATCCGCCTGAAACTTCGTAAATAGAATCATCTCATCTTAACCTACAACTATTTTATTCACGAAAATTCTCTGAATTGGAGCATTTTCTATTTGTAGGGAGGCAAACATTGTCTATTTAATTAGATACTAAAATATCGTAAATGCTCATTTGCTTTTTACTTGGATCTTAAGATAATTTGATCACAAAATCGAGAAACAAGGTGGCCTAAAAAAGTATTGAGTTGTTTGGCGTGACCTACACCCTCAAATCTTCAAAATAACGAGGTTATATATGATAAACGCCCAAATATTTTTGTAAGCCAGTTTTATTCAAAATTTAGTAATCAAATTATCTTACGATTCAAGTGGAAAGAAAATGGGTTTTCATAAGTTATTAGTACCTAATTAAATAGAAAAAGTTTGCCCCCCTCCAGATTGAAAACTCCCCAATTCCAAGAGTTTTCGCAAATAAAATAGTTGTAGATTACGATGAGTATTTACGAAGTTTCAGGCTTAATGATTCGATAAAAAGGGGTCTGCACCACCCAGTATTCTTTCTATGGGTACAAAAAGAAAGAAAAAGAGGAATTATTTCGTTACTAAGCCCAACAATTTTACAAGCCCATTTGATTCGCCGGAATGAAATTACCTCAATTATATTACCCGGATACATTTAACGCAATTCGGCGTTGTGTAACCGTCTGCACTCTCAGGATAATTCATCCTTCTTCGGTCCGAATATTCTACGCAATACTTTATTTTCAAAACCTTAAGACGTTACTCATCCCTTAATGTAAGCGGCCAAGTTTCGCATCCATAAAGAACTGTAGGTAAGATAATGGTTTTATAGATTCTAATTTTTAAGTTCCGGGACAAGAGGCGCGAACTGAAGAGTTTTGTCACAGAAAAATAACAAGCATTTCCCGCCTTCAGTCTAACCTTAATCTCTTCTTCAATTTCGTTTTTTCTAGTTATCGTAGACCCTAGATATCTAAACTTCTCTTCCTGTTCAAACATATTACCATCTATATCGATATCACCAGTAATATCGCAATTTTTGCAGCTGACGATATAGGAAGCAGTTGACAGACTCATATCAACACATTAGTCTATCAACTGCCTCCTGCAGTGCCTGATGCAATGCCCTAATGGAGACCTGCAAGGTGGGTCGAACCGTCGGCGAAACAATTAAAAATACAATTTTTTTAAAAATTAGTATTTATTTGGCCACAATCCCCGCAAACCCCTTCTCATAAAATAACTTTAATTATTTTGCCCCTCCTAAAAATTGCATGAATTGTAGTAATGCCATTGTACAACCAGGTAAGGGTATCTAATTCACAAAATTATTTTTATATATAAAAAATCAAACCTTCCCAAACCGAATTAATAAAATTAATATCAAGTATATACTAAAAATATTTTTAAAAATCTTCCTTGCTGGAAAAGTTATTTTGATAATGATATAGTGAGTGCACTATTTCCTGCATGGTTTCATATCACACTAGGAGGGTACGAGGGGGAGAAGGACCACACACAAGACTTTAAATGTTTTTTTTTTCTTTTACTTTTTATTGTCGCGATGAAGAGATCCTAATCCTGAGGATATCGGAGGCGAGTGGGGACCGACCGCCATTTTGTTAGTGGAGTGGAAGGGGGAGAGGGTGCAGCTGAGACAGGAAGTGGAGGGTAACTGTACAACCGTACTGTTCCCGGAGAGGGGGGAGGCTGTCAACATCCGCCATTCCTCGGCGACCCACTTTCCGGTCTCTCTCGACTTCATTCGTCGCCGTCTCTTCCTTCCTATCTCGAGGATTTTAATGCCTTCACAGGAATCTGCAAGAATTTTTGTTATCCAACAATCCATGCGAAATCTCTTTGTTTCGTGATAAAAATCGAAGAACATTCGGTCAACTCCAGGAAAAACCGATATTTATCTCATTTTTCTATTTCAACACGGATAATAAAAAAATCTGTGAAACATCAGTTTGAATGATAATAATTATGATGTACAGTCGCGGTCATTCTGCAAGACATTCGGATATTTCTTTAGCAGTTATGAAACGATATTCGAAAAATTATCGCATATTAAGCGGTTAAAATGTTAGTTTAAGGGTCTATACGTTTCTGAGCACCCTAAGTTCGAAAAACACATTTTTAGACATTGGTCTGTCTATCTGTGCCAAGATTATCTCGGAAACTAGTGAACCGTTTTATTGCTTCTTTTTTATTTTGTAGGGTTTTGAATACTGATGCCTGTGACAAAAATTAGGGTGCTCCATGCGCTTTCCTATAATGTTCTAATAATTGTCCTTTCAATTTTCTTACATGGATTAAATTCCTGAGAAAATTCAGGAAAAGAAGTTGTAAAGAAAAGAAAAATGTTGTTAAACGATACATCGTTTAGCCTATTTTTTATATATAAATCTTTTTTTTTTTGTATATAAAAATCGTTCATTGCGGACAACTATTAACGAAGTTACAGCTATTCAATTTCCAATATAAGATTACGAGTTCATATCCTGGTGTCAGAAAGGGACGAATGAGAGAAAACAGATAAATAAGTGAAAGTAAGAAAATCTGTTGTCTCCATCACACAAGCTTCACTATTTCCTCTGCTTTAAAATACTAAGCTATGGCAAAAAGTTTTTGATCAGCAATATTAGAGGATATTGTAATTTTTACACTAACCGACCTTAAGCCGGTTTGAATTGCTTAAGTTTATTTTATTTTTTTGTTTCTTGATGGACATATGTAAAGATATAAATACTTTTCTGAAATAGGTAGGAAAGTCGTGTGAGTGGACACACCAGATTTTTTCCTCCCAGTTTTTTTTTTCCTATAGTATGACTACCATTGATTGGTGGTACCCTGTGTTCCTTACTATTCCTCGTGAAAATTCCTTTACTTCATGTAATGTCACAATTCAAAAAGGTTTTGACGAGGAAATCAGAACAAGTATGGAGGTTGTGATGGGCGGGGTATGCAGTTCGGAGCAATCCATCTAGAAGACTCTACACGACAGTGAATGCTTCGGCAGTAAGCAAAATACCACCTAGAAAGCTAAAGAGGTGGATAGATAGAATCAACAAAGATGGAACAGAGCTGCGTGTAGATAAATGGAAAAACATAGCCCAAAAATGTTGCTTCTGCGTGCAATGGATTACGAAGAAGCACATATATCTTTTGTGAGTTTTCACTGAACTATTATACTCCAATACTACTACTATTTCTAATAGGACGTACCTTGGGCTGTGAAGTTGGTTGCTGCGGCGGGATCGGGATGGTACTGCGCCGCAGGGTGGTGGTGGTATGCGCTCTGGAGGGACATGGAGTTGAAGGCGGACAACTGCTGGCTGTTGAGTTGCTTCCTCAGCCTTGCTCTCCTGTTGCTGAACCAGACCTGGACTCGAGCCTCCGTCAGCTTAGTCCTGAGGAACAATAAAGGAATTACCAAAACTGAAATAATAATAAATAATAGTAGCGATAATCTAGAGGACATACTTCTGCGCGAGCTCTTCTCTGGTGTACACGTCCGGGTACTGGGTCCTCTGGAAGGCTCGCTCCAGCTCTTCCAGTTGGTCTCCTGTGAACGTCGTCCTGGACCTTCGCTGCTTCCTCTTCAGCGGAATACCGGGCTCGGATTCTGTATCGCTCTCTTCTCCAGAACTAGCTCCTAAAAAAAAAAAAAAAGTAAATGAGTGTTGAAAAATGTTTAAATATAACATTCTTATCTACTCTATACAGGATGTCTCAATTCTTAATGGCCCAACTGTGAATCATCATTCTAAATTTCATTGGGTTTATTTATTTTAACTCTAGAAAGACATACTGTAGAGCCTTTAATAAAAAAAAATTTAAAAACAACCCACTATCCTATCACCAACCACATCACTTATTTTATTAGTCAGGAATAAGTTAATATTTGTTTAAGTACAATGGTTTTTTAGGTCCCTACAAAGTCGGATTCAGTATATGTAATAGTTATTATCAATTAGAATTAGTTAAATACCCCAATTTTAAATAAAAAGATGGCTACTTATTAACCTCAGTTTCAATAGCTTAATTTCGAAACATTTTCTATCTCTTTAATAAATATTCTCATACTCAGGTGCCAATACATAACTAAACCAAGCTTACCAAAAATTTAAATTCTCTCTACTACGTCTAGCTTAGTTTGGTTTCCATTAACTCCTTACCATGGAATATTGAAAAAAATTTAAAATAAGCTAATGTTTTCTTAATTACAATAGTTTTACTTGATTGAAACTGAGACGAGATTCATCAATAAGATTATTACCTAACATAAATTAAATGAATGCAAATATTTCATTCGGATTCTTTATTTTAACTCTAGAAAGACCACCCCTAGAATTTGAATTGAGATTTGATACATGGTCCCATTCAAAAAATAAAAGGAGTTTAGATCAATTTTGTATCTTCCTTAATATACAGGATAGAGATCGGCTAGCTTTGTTTATTTAATTAGTTAGTAAAAACTCATGAAGACCCATTTGCTTTCCGATTGAATTGTAAGGTAATATGATCGTAAAATAAGAGTGTCCTACAAAATAAAAGTAGAGGGCACGCCAAACGATCCAATATTTTTGTAGGCCACCTTTTTTTCGATTTTGTGATACCTCACGATTCAAGTAGAAAACAAATGGGTATTTATCAGTTTTTAACAATTAAATAAAAACATTTTGCCGATTAGAACTTTATACTGGTATTTTTTTCTGCGTGACTTTATACGTAAGTTTAGAGAATCAAATAAAATATAAAAATATATATTCATCATCAGTTCCTACATTTCTGATAGATATTTCAAAGTAAATCATGATAATGCCTAATTCATACCTCTTTTCTCAATCCGGAGTTCCTAAAGGTACTATCTTTGGTCCTATCCTTTACACAATTTATACAGCTGATATCCCAACCCATCCTCACACTGTTATCACCAACTATACCAATGACACATGTAACCTATTAGTTAATAATGATTCATCAATTGCATCCCAAACTCTTCAACTTCCAAATCCAAAAACGTTTCACTTGGAATCCTTATACCAGACTGATACGACAAGAAACTGCTCGACGTTTCCGACTGCTCCTATACTTACTAGACAGACGTTCTAAACTTTCAATTAATTACAAAAGACTCATATATATTACTATAATAAGACCTATTTGGACTTACGGAGTTGAGATATGGTGCTCCACTAAACCATCGAATTCCTCTCGTATCCAATCTTTACAATCCAAACTCATTCGTAAAATTCTCAATGCTCCTTATTTTGACATAAATAAAATAATCCATAAAGACCTTAATGTTTCGTATGTTTCCGATTCGGTCCAATCCAGATATCTATCCTTCCATAGTAAACTTCATAACCATCCGAATCCTCTCGTTTCTAACCTTGCTTCCTATTCAATTCCTGATAACCCTCCGAGGCGTCTGAAAAGGAGATGGCCTCTTGATCTCCTTATATAGACATATTATTAAGGTGCTACCAGTGGGTAGTTTCTTAACAACCGTTTTCATGAGATTATATTTCTGTGTACACATTTACTTGATGTATTTAGATTGTAATACAGTTGTAAATATCTTGAATAAATAGTTTTAAATATATATAGATCATAATTCGAACAAATGTTCTATGAAAATTGAACGCTTTTCTCCAAATCTAATTATGACGTTTGTTTGTTCGGTTGTTTTTCTTACTCGGTAATAGTTAATTAAAATATTGTTTATGGATTCGATCTAAAATTCAATTTCAAGGAAAAACAACATTGGCAAACCGACAAAAGCTAAGTAATAAACAGAGACATTCGGGGATTTTATAATGATTGGATCGTGTCCCGGTTGGCTGGGTAACCGTCGCCGGACAAAAGCATTCTATTTGTATTCATACACGAGCCTCCAATTTTACGGTGCATTATTCCATCTATATTGCAACCTCATTGGCTGAGGATTACGCAACTCCGCGGGCCGTGGGCCGAAGCGTGGGGTCGTCTCCATAACTTATTCCATTGTGCATTATTTCGTAAGAACAATAATAATTATATACCTATAGGTAATGTAAATCTTGAAATATCAAGTGCTAATATAATTTTAATAGATTTTGCCCCATAAATTATTAGTCCGTGGTAGAGACCCCTTTTTATTAAATCATTAACATCCCCCTGAAACTAAGTAAATAGCTTCATCTCAGCGTAACCTACAACTTCTTTATTCTCGAAAATTCTCGAAATGGAGGGGTTTCTGATGCATATATCGGTAAACTTTGTTTATTTAATTAGCTACTAAAAACTCATGATGACCCATTTTCTTACCTCTTGAATCATAAGATAATATGATCATAAAAAAAAAAAAAAAATTATCTCCTACAAAAATATTGGGCTATTTGCTCTATATAACCTCGATATTTTGCGAGTGGAGGGAACACCAAACGATCCAATATTTTTGTAGGCCACTTTTTTTTTTTTCGATTTTGTGATGGTATCACAAGATTCAAATAGAAAGCAAATGGGTATTTATCAGTTTTTATCAATTAAATAGAAAAATTTTGCCGATCTCCAGATTGAAAATACCCTAATTCAGAGAATTTTCACAAATACATTGTTTGTAGACTACCTTGAGATATAGCTATTTATGAAGTTTCTGAAGAATGTTAATAATTTGTTAAAAAGGGGCCTGTACCACGGACTATATATCATAGCTTTAAGTTTTTTCTTAAGACAGTTATCAGTATTTCAGTACTAAATACTCAAAAAATTTGAAATACACCAATATCATGTATAAATTTAAATTTACAATATTACCTTCTACATTTACTTAAATGGTAAAGATATTACTTTGATATCGGCAGAATTTAGAGAGCGACAAAGTTCGAGTAATTTATTTCAGATTAACAGACACTTTAAGAGAATTTTACAACATTAATGTGATAATCACAACTCAAGTTCCGAGGGTGGATCTTTGCGTGGGTTTCATTGACAGCCGAATTTACCGAATTCGGTTTTTGTATACTGTCAATTATTTTAATATTAATGAAAAATCTAGGGAATTCAGACATCGTATTTTGTACCAGTAATTAAAAAACCGAAAATAAATTCTCTACAGTTTTAAACTAGGAAAATTCAAATTACAGATGAATAAATCAAAAACTCAAACCTATCTCCTAAAGAAAAGTTATAAGGAAAGCCATTGTGATATATCACCTCAGGTTTAGGCATCAACCTCCTAAGTGTTTTTACTTGAAATTTAATCGTATTTGCACTCTCTTTTAGACGTATAAAGTTTATTACATGTTAATGAGTTGAAAACTGTCTGTTAATGGTACAATGTCTATTAGTATAACATTTACTCTAAGTAAAAATAGGAAGAATGGAGTGGCAGAACTATACTTGCTGTTTCTGGTAAAAATCCTAGTTGCACTCCCTGGTTTATAAAATGGCTTTGAAGAAGGAAGAAAAATCCTGAATTATAAAATACTAGTTGGCTCGTGCGAAAAATTTTGTTTAGTGAAGAAATAGCAAAACAATATGGAAATAAGTAGTTCAAATGTATTATGTAAGGAAGGAATTAATATTTTATCCTTAGTCGATTACAATATTCCATTAAACATAATAAACCAAAATATGTATACAAATTGCTTTGCTAGAACTTATTTTTAAACGCTGACTGGAAAGATAATAAAAATAATAAAGACAAAATAATGTACCGATCATAGGATATTCTAAATTATTAAAAAAAAAATAAAATGTAAGAACAACTAAATGTCTTTAAGAAATAATAAAGTTAATATATCAGCCAGGAAAAATGTAGTAGACTATTCTACTCCTAAATGCAACATCTTTAAGCAGGAAGACATTATTAAGTATACCAAAACTAATGGACTGTATCTTTGTTAATAATTGTCCGATTTTTACGATTTCTTCTTTGTTTTGTAGGTACATACTTTTTGAATTATTCGCAAATAAAATATCTTTTCCCCCATAACTTTCCAGAATTTTCGGAGAGATGGGACTATTTTTCGCATGTGAAGGAGAAGAATATCTTCAAAGTGAGTGGTCAATCATTGCATTTCATGAAGAATTGAAGAAGTTATGGCGTACCGAAAAAAAAGCACCTTTTAGAAATAATATATAGGATATTCTTTGTTGAGCTATCTTTGCTCCATTTAATACGTAACCAACCATACTTCTCGGAAGGTTGCTGTACGTATGAAAAACATATATACAGTGTATATGTATTATATATAAAACCATATGTACACATGAAAATATGTATAAAACATATGAATTAATAACATATATAAAAACATTAAAACTGATTTTAATTACCTCTTTATTTTTCTTATTACAACTGTTGAATGCATTGTGCATAAGCATTTTGCAACCTGCTTTAATGGATGTACAATTGCTAAGAAAAAGCCTGAGAAAGGAATTGAAGAGTTACGAAAATAATTGTCTGTAATTATTAAATGCTAGCCGATTACTATTTCTGATGAGTGCGGGAGTTCGCACGGCTCTAAGTGCGTTGCAACACTCCGTGCGTACGATATTCCGTAATGCGATGGAATTTAAATGCTGACATTATATATACATTTAAAAAAAAATAATCTACTTCTCAAATTTACGGTCTAAAAAAAGACACACTTACATAAAATACAA